TTTTTTTTTTTTTCTTCTTCCACCGATTTTTCCACCGATTCGAACGAACAGAGTAAATTGAGAAGGTGTGCTTCTACTGTCGATTTCAGCGCAACGGTGACTAATCTTCAAGCAAAAGTGGAATCCCTGACAACGACGAACGCTCTCATGAAGGAGGACCTCTCTATTGCTCAAAATCACATACTGTCGCTTTACGAGGAGAACAGACAACTGAAGAAAGAGTTGGGAATCGAGATCAAAGACACGAACGAGGTACGAAGGCATCTTTTGATGTCTAAGCGGTTCATTCTTTCGTCGATTCGACGCACGTCAAAACACGGGGGCGGGGTTGGGGATTTCTCTGGTTTCAGAACGGGAAACCACCGATCAAAATCACCGAAACGACGACTGAAATCGAGGAGTTGAGAAGTAGATTAGAGGCTGAGAAGAAAATGCGGAAGGACGTAGAGAAGGAATTGGAATTACAGGTGGATGACGATGTTGTATCTCGTAATACTTTTGTATCTTTTACCTTTTTTTCTTCTCAGGTCTTGAACTTTCGAAACGGTTGAAAATACGAATTAGTAGAAGGTTAGAAGAATCGAAACGGGAGAAATGACTGACTAATTTTTTGTGAGCAGATTAGTATGAAGTCGGAAATGGAAGTGGCTATGAAGCTGTTGGAGAAAGATATTCACGAGAAACAAGACACGATCATATCATTGCGACGACAGCTCGATGAGATCAAGTTAATTAACTTGGAAATGTATAAAAAGCTACAGGTGATCAATTCTATTCCTTTTCACGCGTTAATCGCGACGCAGGACGCTTCACAAGTCCGAGAAACGTGTTGTATCATAACTTTACTCCCAAGTTATTCTCTACAACATTTGCTACATTCGTGTGAGTTTTTGTTTTTTTTAGTTACAAGTAGACCGTGGATTTTTATGAATGTGTAAATTGCACAGAATTGAGCGCTGTCAATAATATTTGACACGTAAAAGATTCTATTCTTTCTTTCAGAAATGTGAATTTGCAAATTGTGAGAAATCAAAAAAAAAAGGCAGATCCTCGTCGCGATTATCGTCACGTTCCAAATATTTTCTAAATATTTACATATGTGTTTCTCTCATCGCACACATTTGCGCTGTGTTTCTGTTCTTTTCTTTTTTTCTTTTTCTTTTTTTTTTTTTTTTTCTCGTCTCCGCTTTAACCCCGTCAGCTTTTCAGATTTTTAGCCAACTTTGATCCCACACTCACAGACAGTTTCTAAGTTACTCGTTTGCCACGCTGGGGGAAATACGGGTTTCCTTGCTTTCGATTATTCTCTTGTTTCTGGGACTATTTCCATTATAGGAATGTGAGCACGAACTAACGCAGAAAGGCGAAATGGTGAGCCGGCTGCACGCGAAGACCAATCAGATCGGCAAGATCCTGAATAATCTCGAGAAGTGCAACCACATGAAAAAGGACGGCGATAATATTCGTAGCCCGACCACGCCGAGCAGTGTCTCGAAATCGATTCTCAATAAGACCAGTCCCACGTCGCCGCGATGTTACTCGTCCGTAGACAATGTACCCGCGGCTGACTATCAGCACTCGCCTAACAATCAGCAACAATCCGCTAACAATCATCAGAAACCGTCAAACAACCAGCAAACTAACAATCAACAACACTCTGATAACGTTCAGCAGAAATCTTTGATTAAGCAGCCAGACTCTCCGAATAATAACAGAGAGACGAGGGTTGACGTAGAGCAAGTAAATGGCGCTAACGGCAAGGGGACTGCAAAGCCTGATAACGTAGAGCAGAGTAAAGCGAACGGTGAGGTCTCGCAAATGAAGGCGCAGGAGAAATCGACCGCATAAGAGAACACCAGTCTTTAGAGAATGGTTTTTATATTACATGTGCATCCTCACACTTCGTTTAACAGCTCGACTAACTTCGAGGGCGTATGAACGACGGCTGATCCTTTATACGAACGTGTTCCTGAAATGTCCAATGACATTTTAAACAGTGTCTATGTATGTACGAGTAATAGCGTATTTAATTGATTAATTATTACCCTGTACATAATTTGCGAGGTATCAGCTTTATTTATTTCGTTACTTTTTGTTCTAGAGTCTCTTCAGAAGTTTTTTTTTTTATGAATTGTTGAACGTGTTAGCCTGACTACCAATCTCACGATAATTTCTTTGTTTAGAGATATCGTATCTTTCATTGACAAATGAATTTCACTTGCTACGTTATTTATATTGTCAGGGATTAAAATTTCTTAATTTAATTAATTTCAAGCTTCCCAGAGATCTAAGAGAGTCTTTCATTTCTACTAATAAGAAATAAATTAATAATAATATATATCATATTCGCAAGAATTAATCTGGTAGACGAGTTAATAAATTACCAAAGTAAGTGATTATTCGCATTGTTCTGAACTAAGTTTCTAAGGAACAGAAGGCGCTTATAATAGATGTATCATTTAAGTTAGTACGATCGTTAATCATTTATTGCCTAAAAGGATAACTGTTACGAAAGAATTTACACATATACATTTACAGACACTATGATTGTTATCGAAATGGAATTTAATCACGAGAAATGTTGTTGGATCATTCAGAAGCACTAACTATTATACACTCAACGCTAAACAAGCTGTATCAAAAATTATCACGTAGACCTTTCACAGGGCAAGACTTTATACAGACTACGACTTGGAAACGCGTAGAATATATCAACGAGAATGAAATATTCGATATATTTATAATTATCTAGCATCATTCATGCATCAGTAAGCTTTCGAATAGGACATCTATCGTGATGTGTTTCGATCGAGACACTCTACTCTAGATTATTAGCTGTGCTTTATTAACGGCATAGTTATCAACGCTGTTTCAATGAAATTCCTATTGCGCGCACTATCGAACTATCGAACGACAATAACATTAGTAGACACATGTTTTTCGTATCCTCGTTATAACATATAATATCCAGTTGATATCTGTTTTATCGTTCATTAGATTCTGGTTATTAATTATTATTCTCTGTGTGTAGAGTGTCTCGGATATTTCATTTCACCCCATACGCGGAAACATTGTACTTCAATGAATATTAATTATCCTGTTACATTGGTATTAATCTCCCTCCCTGTCGAAATAATCTATCACCGAATATTGTTACTCGTTTAGCTTTTGTCGAGCTTTGTCCGCGAGAATAATACCAATCGACGGATGATTAACATTCCCCATTTCCAAGTCGACGACAGAAAAAAAAAAAAAAAAAAAATCACCTAAACTTCCACTAGTTTTCACGTTCAATGGGATTTGAAAATTCACGTTGCATGATTTTCGATTAATTTCCATCACAATTGATATTAAGTTAATATGACGCCTGAATCTTTTACGTTGATACAGGATGAGCTTTTTCTTGCAGTTAAAAATTGTACATTTCTACAATTGTGCAATTCTATCTCTAAGGATTACGTGCAGTTTCAGGCCAGTTTCCCTTTCAGTCGAGAAACAATCATAAAAAGAGAAAAGAAAAAGAAAAGAAAAAAAAAAACGGTTCTTTCCGCCTTTCACTCAGACAACGTTTATTTCAGGAGTGCGAAGGCTCGCTTAAGCATAAAACAGAACTGATCACTAAATTGGAGGCTAAGACGCTATCGATGACTGAGACCATCCAGAAAATGGATGAAAAGTACGTTTATTTGTCTTTCATTAGTTGTTAATTACTTTGTAAGCACGACTGACTCATCGGTTCTTAGATTACGATCAATCATTCTGTCGAAGTTGACAACTAATCATCCTATCGTGTTATTATATTATACCTCTCGCTTCTCGAATATAATCGCTCTGCTTCACGCCATTTATTGTAAGGTCTCGTTGAAACGTTCGTGCAGCTTCGTATCATCGCACGACTATCAAGAGGACGTTGATGTTACGGAAATTCTGATTTCATCGAAGATCATCGGACAATTTCTGCTTTTAAAATTCGCTTTAAAGTCTCCTGCCGCAATCAATCGATCCCCACTCAAACATTATCGTTGAATCATACAATTTATGTTAGACCACTAGAATTTATTACCAGATAATAGCAGTTAAGTGTCAATGTTAGGAAAATCGTTCGTGAAAACGAAAATGAGAAAAATTTAACGCTTCGAATATTTTATATATTTCGTAGAAACTTTACACTTACCTCTAAACGCGTCTATTGTCTGACAGTTGAATCCAAATCGAATTCAATGTTAAGCCGAGACCTTTGCAAAGAGCACGAGCAAGGAATTTCTGGAGCATCAAGTTCCTCTTCCAACATCATCGTTCCATCTTTCCATTGACGCTTTTCATTTCATTAAAATCTCGACACCGAGGTCCACGCATTCGTTTTACGTACACCCCCGTCGTGGAAGGAACGCTATGGCAGAATATTACCAATACTATCATTATATTATCGTTGAACGTTCTAGCATTTTACGTACAAGTACCTAGTCGTTGTGATAAGGGATTTTCTAATAGCTCGACGCGATATTATCGTGGCTCGGCGACATCGAGAAACGATACACGGCTCGACGGCTGGTAGGTTAGAGGTGATTTATTTTTTACTTAGGCGTCGCGAACGCGATCTGGACTTAGGGTAGATTAGCCGAGACAGAAAACCATTATAGATCTACTGATTCGTTAACGGAGATGTTGGCAAACCTTCATTCAACGGCTACTTCGATTTAAGATTACTAAGTCTATATTAATATAACATAGTATAACGTAACATAATATAATACAATACAACATAATTAATATAAATATTAATGTTATAGCGATGGATTCGTGTTTCCCGTAATTAATTAATTAATTGGTAGATTTATACCTCGAGATCGAGTGAATGAATAATCGTTGGATTTTAAATCGATCCGCGTCTTGCTCGTGCGCGAACAACTTCCCCCTCAGCTTCTCTGTTCGTTCTGATTCTCACTATTCGTCAATTCTTCTATTCGATTGGCGGTGTCTGGTCAATCAGAGTTATGAATTACGATACAAAGGATACCTAGTGTTTCAGGAACTGACTTGCGATCATTTTTAATCGTGACTGATTCTTTCTCTTGTTTCTTCTCCCCTCTCCCCCTTTTTGTCTGATTTTCACGTTAGATCGACTTGTTTCTTACGATT